ATATATATATAGTTTTGTTCTTCGTTTCATTATGAATATTTCTGTGAAAATTTTATCTCAATATACCTATTTTTGCGAGAGTTACTAAATTTTTTATGGATAAGTGCATTTTTCTGTTTATTAATTAAATACCCCGTCGGTTTGGCGGTAGGAAAAGATTTAAATACTATCCGTCGCGGAAGGGTTAAAAATATTGTGCCTACCTCACAGAATAAGCTTCATCTATATTCCACAGACCGACCGGTCACGGTAGCCGAGCGTTCTAAGGCATGTGTTTGTGTACAGGTAGAGGCCTTGTGACGAGCTGATCACCCGCCCAAGGAGTCCTACCGAACGTGTAAGATCTAGAAAAACCCAAGTGAACGGAGAAGTTCATGGAGGTAGGGCTAGGCCCACTGGGGCTGNGCCAAGGGGGGGGGGGGAATATTCCACAGACCAACTGCTCTGTGCTCTTCAGGGAAATAATCACTGCTTATTCTGGGAATTATTACATCTAATAATTCCTGTGCTCTAAAGGAATAGTAATTACTTGACTTTGCTATTTATTCAATAATCACATTATGGATCAACTGACATATTGTAAGGACTCTGATTCAAACCTGTGGTATTCCATCCACTTAGTAAGTTAATACGGGCTGGAGAGGCTCAGTTGTAGTAAGGATACACAATCAAGCAGCCCAATTAACTACATTACTGTCATTTTTTTAATATAAAATCTTAATATTATTCATAAAAATGTGGTCTAAATACAAGAATACATGAAGAAAATTAAGAATAATTTCCTCTCATACACAATGCCTTATAGTCCGATAGAAATTCACCGAAATTTCGATAAAGTATACAGCCTGTATCTTTAGGGCTAAGTGCTGGTACTTTGCTTCGCTTATCCTTCTACCCTAAAGATTGATACCTTATGTTACTCAGAAACGTCGATGGACTTCTGCCGGACTGCACCACGTTGTTTCCGAGAACATGGGTAAATACATGAAGAAACGTAATAAGTTATTAAGAAAGCATATATGAGTAAATAACTGAAATAAGTAAACATAAAACACGAAGATAAGCAAATAAATAATAAAATAAATAAAATAGTAAAAAGAAAGAATAGTAAGTAAATTACTCCAAAGTGACCCGGAACATTTTTTGTTTGACCCTTACATCGCTTCCAGAAACGTCAGTTCGTCAGAGTTTCCAACGCGGTCACACCGAATTCAAACTTCCTAACTTTACACGTAAATGGTCACACTGATGTAAGTGGCTTTGTGTTATAGTATTACTTTCCTCTTTCTATCTTATAGCTTTCAATTGCAATGTTTTTGTCTTTGATACATTTTTTTCAAGAACTCAGTTATTTGTTTACCACATTCTGTTATCAAGACGAACATGTTCTTCATCTTGCTGGATGTGAAAGCAGGACTCAAAGTAGATCGCATGTCCTTCCATCGTTATCCTGTTAGGGAATGAAAGTGTGAGTAGATAAGTGAAACAAATCATATTAAAGTGAGCTTAATTTCTTTTCTTAGTTCTTCCCATAAGCGAATGATGGAATGATGAGTTATATCCGTGGGGAAAAGGGGGGGGGGGCAAAAAGGCCAACTCCATTTTTGGCGTTTCACAATTCCCATTTGCTTCGTGCTAAATGAGAAGACTAAGTAAAGGACTAAAGATATGAATTTGGCTTGCAATGAAGAGGACAATGGAATGACGTCACATTGAAAGAAGTTTCTTGCCTGGGAATGCTTACATAAAAAAGTAAAGGGATCCCTGTTAACAGGCCGTGGAGGCCCATAGGGTTGTGAGATGTTGAGGTTCCCACATTTTTTAGACAGTCGTCTCATAGATGGCGGTAAGGTTGTCAGCCCTACGCGCCGGCCGCCCCTTACCCCTAAGACCGTTACAAGAACATTTCTGTTAGAGGCTGAGTCGACCCTAGGGCCATAGTGCGGCTGGAAGGATTAGGTCAATTACCGCCACCACCACCACCACCACCACCACCACCATCATCATGAAAATCACTCTCACTCTTCATTTCTTACTCATCTGGTGGGGAAACGAATAGTCTTCTTCTATAGTAATACAGGGACAGACCGTATTACGCAAGCGCAGTCCTATTCTGTCCTCGTAAGAAGTTTTGCCGCAGTTCTCAAGTTTTTACTTCTCTAACAAAACCCGACCCAATCTATTCAAACCTAACCCAACCTAACGTCGCCTGACCTGACTTACCCAAACGCAACAACAGTTGCCAAAGGAAGTATATGTGAATCTGTAGCCACGGAAACCATCACCGAGGGCAAACCAGGCATCTGTCCATCCTTTATATTTGTGGAAAAATTGAAATTGAAAAGAGAAAACAATACCCCAAAACATGAATACCAAAAATTAAGAATGGTAGAAATTGAACATTCTTTCTGGCCCATTTTTTTAATACAAAGAACCAATACTCCAGGACAATTCATAAAGTGAACTGAAACAACATGTAAGCCTATATTCTGTTTGACCCCCTTTTCCCTGATAGAATCCTGGAGACGCGCATGTCCGTAACAAGGACACGGTTAACTAGAATTGTAAGGCCATGGAATATTTACATGCATAATATTCCAAGTAGTTAAATATCCTACTTGTGAAAGGTCGGCGAATATCAATTTTATTTCTTAAATATCTGAAAGTACAATTTTCATAGACATTTATTATGCATTCTCTCATACTTAGCTTCTTGATTTATCTAGCAAGCATCAACGCGTACATTATGTTGAATTTGAGATATCATAAGTTTTTCAATAACAGAGGAGATTGTAACCGATCATTACCTACCGGCGCCATTCTTTAATATTTAAAGCCACAAGATGAATTTTAATCTTCAGTAGTCACACTAGACGGAACTGTTTAACTTTTCAAGATATTGTTATTGTGACGGACCAGAATGAAACCCATGAGAGATCTTTCTCAATCTGTAGAACGGCGTGGAAATTCAAGAAAGATCTAGATGTGAAAGATTCTGGAAATATTGCGTAATTCGAGAGTATTTAAAGGCCGATCTCGGATGGCGCTGCTATTGCTTGCATTGTTTGCATTGCTGACTGGTGAAAGGTATAGTTGTGCACCAGAGTGGTTGTAAAAACAGTCTCATACATCCAGAAGTGTAACACCGTGTAGTGCTGTTAAGAATAAATTATGTTTATCGTTTTCACTACTAGAATGTGGTTCAATGGCATCTTCCCTAAACCCTCTCTCGTCGGAGCAAGGCCTGTTAAGCCCTGAGTTAAGCCCTCATGCTCACGCCTTGATCATTAACATTATCCCTATTTCCTTCCACACTTCACTCACGACATTTTCGACGTGGTTTTAAAATCACGTGGTGCTCAACTAAGGACAAGGAGTGAGTCAGAGAAAAAAGGCAAAGAAAAGGACGGTTGAAAAGTGGCGCCCAACTTGGGGTGATGCAAAATAAAAACTGTTAAAAAGTGGCTAACTCAGCGTGTGGTAGAGTCGCAACGGCGAGAGACGACGAACAGGATGACACGACGCACAGCGAAAGGAGACGACCTAAGGAAGAGAGGAATAGTACCAATAAAGAGACATGAGAATGGGAACATCATGAAAAGTATAAAACAAAAACTAATAAACACTGTTAACTTCCTTCCTATCATCCAACCCCTATAAAGGAGCCTACTGCTCTGGGATCACGGAGAAAAACTGACTTGGCTCCGTGTATTACTCACATTTAGTTAGCCGATAAGTACAGTTATTGTTGATGTATTATTCTAAACCTCCTTTAATCCTCATCGCACTGCTTACACCTTCCGTCGTTAATATTGCACTCATCCTTGTTCACTTCTATCACTGACTCTCTAACTTTATATTTCGACTCCCCTTCTAACACTGATTCCCTGACTTTACATTTTGACTTCTCTTCCATCGCTCACTGACTCTCCAACTATCTCTTTCGACTTTCTATAACCGAGTGCCTCCTCCATATTTCACTCCGACAACAATTAACCTCCTCAAACTCCCAGCCGGCACTTCTTTTACAATATTCAGGTAGCACCCAGTTACAAACCCCTAAGTGACCATCACTTGGAAAGAGTTACGGCCGGATTCCAATAATGGGCGCCAGTCCAGCATTTATCTTGTCGGGGAGGAATGTCATCTTCGAACGTTCATTTCAGCTTTTATCGATACAAGACGCTCATTAAGTAAGGGACCAAGCGCAAGTAGGGTGACATTCCTCCTGGGAGACTCAGAATAAAAGCAAGGTCTGATTTCCCTAGCCCGACGGAAGAAAACATTTAAAGATTCTACAGACGACGCCAACGGCAATGGTGACGCCATGGAGAGGATACCAGGCTCGAGTGCAGCGTATAATCCTGTCTCCCTGACCGCCATTGTCATCACAAGCCTGAGGAGGATTCTGAGGGACAACAATTTTATGGCCACGGGATGGCACCTCGCCGCAGGCGCGTATTTCATGCACGTGGAATCAATAAGTGGAATATTCACAGCCGCTGTTAAACAATGTTAAGTGAGGGAAGTACGGTTAAAATATCTTCTTAAATAACTCTTATAATATTTCCCGTGTGATGCAAATGTAATTACATTCAAGTGATGTGCTGTTATATATATATATATATTTACGTATGTATATATATAGATACATAAGTAAACGGTTGTTTAGTTCTGATATGCAGGAAGGTTCTTGCCTTTGTTGGCCGTTTCACAGCTCTGAGCTTCACGGCGAACTGTGCACCACAGACTGCAAGGCACGTAAGAATTTTGCCGATGAATCAGTTTGCCTGTTGGCCGATAACGTTCAGAATGAAGTAGTTACAATTCACAGATCACAGGAGGTTTTTTAAAATGCTGTCCTCTACACGTGGACATTCCTCGCGCCGGGGGAAAATGTTCTGATTTACTCTTTGAAGCGGATCCGCAGGAATATTTGCAATTTCTCTACGAGTATTTTCCTTCAGGTCTTCCGTTCGGGGGTTACTGTTGTAAACTTTGTTCTTCAACCAATCCTAGAAGAAAAAATCAAATGGATTAAGATTGGGTGAACTTGCTAGACATATATATATCACTGCTGATAATTCTGTCCCCGAAGACATCGGCCAAAGCCTCCACAGACACACGTTCAGTATGTTTATTATCTGAGTGTTACTGAAACCAGCCATAGTCTTTCTTCTTCTGTTAACTCTGGAAAGAGTTTCCCTGGATTTACCTATACGTATCTTTCGCAATTGTTTCGTTAAAAAACAGGTCAAATAATCTTTCTTGCACTTAGAACACACTAAGAATGTGCAGACACAAATGTTTCTGATCCTGATCTTCAGTCTGCCCATTCGGACAGTTGGTTCGACAGTTGCCGGGTCGATGGATTGATTGCTCATTTGGATGCTTGGTTAATATACAGAGGATTCCAAAAAAAGTATTCACTTTTGATAATCAATATCTTTGGAACAAAATGACATGTAGTTACAATTCTTGCGCGGGGGGAGAGAGAGTCATTCTGTGTGTTTGAAGTGACCACCATCAGCGGCTAAACAGCGTCGATGCCGTCGAACTGCTGAGCCAACTACGGCTGTCAGTGTGTCCGGTGTGATGGCTGCACACGATGCTTCGATGGTTTCTCGTAGCGCGTTCAGTGTAGCTGGCTTTTGTCGATAAACTTCATCCTTCAAGGTTCCCCATAGGTAGAAGTCGAGAGGTGTTAAGTCTGGAGACCGTGATGGGTACTCAGTAGCACCTCTTCGACCTATCCATCGTCCAGGTAGAGTGTCATCCAAGTATGCCCTGACATCTCGATGATAGTGAGGTGGAGCATCATCTTGTTGTAGATAAAATCTCTCATCTCCAAACATGTTCGAATGACAGGGAAAGCGATGTCTGAAGCATATTGAGATACACCTGACCAGTTACGGTACCTTCAAAGAAGAAAGGACCAATCAAACCGCGCGATGACAGACCACACCACACATTAACACCCGGTAGATTCACTTCCTTGCCCACGTGAACGTGTGGCTTTACAGGAGCCCAGTACACACAATTGTGGCGGTTAACAGTACCGTTCATTTTGAATTGCGCCTCGTCAGACCAGATAACTTTCCCTGCAAACTCCTCATCCTCGCGAACCAAGTAGTACATTAACATCATATCTGGAGGTAACACAGCCTAACTACCTGATGGCAGCTAATTACGCTATCTATCACGTTAACAGACGTGATAACACACTCCTAACATCCTGAGTGCGCGTGTGAAATACCACCCTATCACACGCCACAAAACTCAAGTTCGTTACACCTACAGATGGCGAAAGCATGCAGAGATGCACAGCAATTACAATCTTCCGGTTGAAGTAAATCTTCCGCTTATCGTTTTGCTCCAGTTAAACACACGGTTGTATGATTGGTACGCGGGCGATTGATAGATTGTAACATATCTTACTTGAAACGTGACAGGGTAATAATACCTTGGCGAATGCTGCTACACATAAAATACACAATAACAAAGGGCGACATTAGTTTCCTTCGTTCTCTGTGAAATCAACGCCATTTATTTGTTGTAGTGTGGACTTGCGCGAAGAAAATGCTTCGTCTGTGATTCTGATATCGGCAACTGAAAATTGTCCAGTGTTCTATAAGGCTCTCCCTCAACATAGCCCGTCTTGGCGAACCATACGTCAGTCGTGTGGCTCTGTGGAAGCAAATCCATTTTAAAGAATGGATCGCTAAAACGCGTCACAAAAAGATGCAAGCAACCTATTAACGCTCGTGGCAAGGGGGCGTAATTGTGCACTGTACAAATTACAGTGCAAAGGTTTTGATGTAAAAGCTGTAGTGAGAATTATCCGAGTTAATCATTTCTCAAGGGAGTCAATATTCGAAGGTCTCAGAAACATGAAACCGATAGGGAATGTTGTTTTGAATGTTTTAATTGTAAGTAAGAAATCAGTATCAATTATAAGGTGGCCCTTAAAGACACTTTAACACAGTGTAGGAAAGTTACAACAAATTTTGGATCGAAAAATCTTAATGACTACATCGGGTAATAACATGTCAATACAAGTCGTATTTTCCAAATCTGATCTATCCTGAAACTAATTCAATGGTAGTGGATACTTTTCTGTGAAAGAGAGGTAACTGAAGCGAAATGAAAAACACTCATGCATAATCAAAAGGACCATTCCATCTCTAACGCATTGCCTTGGAAAATTCTTGTTTTCATGTGAAGTACGTGGGGAAGAAGTCTCTCACATATTTTCTTTTGATGCTTCCATTTGCTCGTGCAGATTAAATGGTTTCTAATTGTCTTCCGCACACACACAAGCTCTTCTGGAGCTGAAACACATACTTCTTATGCAAGGAATTGTGAAATATGCAGCAAACTCTTTCTATAACTAACTAATTAACTAACGCTAATTGTGAGCTACTCAGAAGCTTGCCAGCATTTTATGGAAACCGAAGGCTCATTACCGTGTTCAGAAGAGCCCTCCACTGCTCCCTATCCTGAGCCAGACCAGTTAAATCCATAACATCCCATTCTATCTCCCCAAGATCTATTTTAACATTGTCCACCCACCTACGTCTTGGTTTTCCCAGTGGTTTCCTTCCTTCCGGCTTTCCCTGCAATATCCTTTAAGCATTCCTCCTTTCCTTATTCGTCCTACATGCCCTGCACATCTCATCCTTGACTTGACCATTCTAATTATATTTGGATAAGAGTACAAGTTATGAAGCTCCTCATTATTCAGTTTTCTCCAACTTCCAGTCCAGTCATCTCTCCTGGATCAAAATATTCTCCTCAGCACCCTGTTCTCAAATATCATCACTCTGTATTCCTCCCTTAATCGTAGAGACTAAGTTTCACACCCATGCAGAACCACAGGCAAATTATAGTATTGTATTAAAATCACAAAGTCAATAGAAAGTCCGTCGAGTGTAACAATGTTTTTAGGTCACTTCTTTATCACATTTGCCTTACATGTTTCGGTTTAATAAAACCATCATCAGAGGCACATATTACAAACACATGAAAACACTTCAGTTGTTTAAATGTACACAGTATATATGCTGCGTGGACGCTGCTACAAATGTCGATGTGTAAAAGCACAACACTTGCTAGGAATATTGAATGCACGTTCAACTCTCGCATTCCATCCGAAATTGCCCTCAAATTAAACCGTCAATGTTAAAATATTTAAAAGTTTAAAACATTTGAAGTAAAATGTTAGGCTCCTCCTTGTTAATTCATCCCGATGATGGGAGATGTCAGCTTGAGGTTGTATAGGCTTATGGTCAGATGTTTCCTATGCGTTGTGTGTTGTGTACAGTAACCAACACACAACGCATAGGAAACATCTGACCATAAGCCTATACAACCTCAAGCTGACATCTCCCATCATCGGGATGAATTAACAAGGAGGAGCCTAACATTTTACTTCAAATGTTTTAAACTTTTAAATATTTTAACATTGACGGTTTAATTTGAGGGCAATTTCGGATGGAATGCGAGAGTTGAACGTGCATTCAATATTCCTAGCAAGTGTTGTGCTTTTACACATCGACATTTGTAGCAGCGTCCACGCAGCATATATACTGTGTACATTTAAACAACGCCAGTGTTTTCATGTGTTTGTAATATGTGCCTCTGATGATGGTTTTATTAAACCGAAACATGTAAGGCAAATGTGATAAAGAAGTGACCTAAAAACATTGTTACACTCGACGGACTTTCTATTGACTTTGTGATTGATAGTGTAACGGACCAAAAATGAAGCAATTCAAAATTGTATTAAAATGTCTATGTATAGCATATCCGCCAATAATGGTACAATTGTCCTTTTTTATTCCTCCAACAGCATTGTATATTCTAATTTTTATGTTTTTAAACAGCAGATGAGAAGACAAAATGTTCCGGACTGAATGGTACCAAGCATTGCCTGAATTCAGTCTCCTCTTAATTTTCACCTGAATCAGGATTTGATTTGTTTTGTCATTCCAAAATATCTGAACTGAACAACATTTTCAAAATAACTGTTACCTATCTTAATGTTATGATTTTGCCCTGCATTTTGATGACAAGACAGCAACATATACTTAGTTTACTGTGGTTTTATTTCTACATCACCCTCTTTAGTGGTGTCAATCAAAATTTGTGTCTTACACTATTCTGATGTGCGCTAAAACCGCTCGTTGCAGTCCACTTAAAATAACATAAAAATAATTAATTAAAATCCATTAAAATTTTCTATTAAAATTTTTCGTAAAATCTTATTCCACCCCATAAGGGATATCGTCCACTTGTTTATAGCTATGTGATTATTCCAGAAGGTTTGTTTCAGCAGCTTGCTTTTCTGTTCGTTAGCCCGTTGTTTAGTAGATGTAGCAACGGGCTAACGAACAGACATAGACGTTTAATATCAGACAGATGTTTACATATACGGACTTTATCATACGTTTCATTTAAACGCATTTTAATTAGCCTAACTACTTTCATGGGTACCCCAAATTTTATTAGAATATTGTAAAATACTTCCCTCCTAATTGAATTACAGGCTTCCTGAAGTCTACAAATAGCTGATGTACTGTCGCATTTTACTCCCATTTTTTCTCCAATATCTAATGAATGCAAAAGATATTATCTGTAGTTGATCTGTTACGTCTAAAACCACACTGATGATCCCCAATAATTTCATCTATGTATGGACTTACAAAAGCTACAAAATGCAGCGACCATCACACAAGAAGCCTTATTGCACATACAGCAAAGATAATAGCAAAGATACTTAAAAGAAGAATTGAAAGGAAAATAGAGGATATACTTGGAGAAGATCAGTTTGGATTTAGAAGAGGAAAAGGAACCAGGGATGCAATTGGGATGATGAGAATTATAGCAGAACGAACTTTGGAGATAGATGAAGAACTGTGTGCTTGCTTTATAGACTGGCAGATGGCATTTGACCGTGTAAATTGGACCAAATTAATGCAGATCCTAAAGGAAGCAGGTATCAACTGGCGGGAAA